GCTGTGTTGTCTGAAGCTAGACTGCTCCCAACAGGTTGATTTATTTTTTTAGGGAAAAAGCCACCCTGACAAAATGTGGCTTGTTCTATAGACTATTCAACCACAATTGATGTATGTGTCATCTGAAGCCAGGAGAATAATTTCATCATTGGTTGCAAGGATCAGCTAACAAGACACTAAGCAAGAGTAGTAAAACTTCTGCTTCTCTTCATGATCTTGCATGGGCTGCCCCAATTACCATGCTTCTACCAATGCCTAAGCAGCACTTAGGAGTGACCATTATTGGTTTACCACCAGGTTTTGTTTTGTTTTGTGTGTGTGTATGTGTGTTTGTCACCTGAAAATTGTGTAATGGTGTTTCTTTACTACCATCTTTTGCAAGTGGTCTGTTAAGGCTGATATGCATACTTTTGCTTAATCAGTTTCCTTATCTGTTTCATCTGTCAAAGGGAACCCTTAAGTGGTACATAGAACAGATGGAAAAAGCAAGATACATAAAGACAAATTTATACACAGTTGTGAAAGATGAATTGTTTGTTAATTGAAAAGCACTGGTAAAGGGAGGAAAACAGTAAAAGTGCCACCAACAGCAGGGGTTGGGGGAACAATACCACTTAAGCACTTAATGTAATCTTGCTGGTCTGAAGTGTTGAACTGACACTTCTTTGTCTTTTCTACGCTTTCCTGATCCCCAGCTACTCCAGAAAGTGGAGATATTAACTCAGCCTCCCTCTTCTGGCTCCTTTTCTTGCTGCTTCAATCACTTCTGTTCCCTGACAGTTTTTTTTAATGCAGAAACATATTTAAATTTAAACTGGGAAGTAAGTAGACGTGAAATGTATGCAAATTCATTGGCTGAGTGGTGCATGGAGAGAAAATTTGCAACCTGTGTTAACTGTTCCATTGCTGCAAACATTCTCCATTTATTTCTCTTCCCTTAAATTAATGCAAATTTCCCCTTCATTTACTTTCCAGACATTAATTTTTTAGAACTGTAACTTCAACAGTAAGTGTAAGGAGGTTAGTATGGCCCCTTTCTGGATTAGCTTGAGACTCAAGGAAGTGTTGAAAAGGTGGAAGACACTGAAAAGTATCTTTTTCAATACTTAAGAATGATTTGGACACACTGAAAAAAAAGTAAGGCCTCAATTGAAGTTTTTTGGGAGAGAAAAAAGACAGGTTCTGCTGAAGGACACTGGGATATGTGTTAGAGGTGGTTGAGGGACTTGGGGGAAAGAGAAATAGAACAAAGTCAACAGTGAACCTGATCATTTGTTGGATGTACAGTGGGTTGTTCAGTAAGCAACCAATAATGGCTTATTTACAAGGTTGTTCAAATGTACTTACTGTTTTTGTTGGAATCTCCACACTAAGCATAGATACTAATGGGAGAGCACCAGTTATTTGCTGTTGTTTATCAAAGTTGCCAGTTACTTTAAAAGGCCTGCTTACTTCCTCTCTACAGCTAGCTACTCTGTTAGGTCTCCTTGCTCTCGTTATAAGCATGTATGCACTTGTGTGTGTTACATTAGTACTCATGTTCCATTTCAACTCCATTGAACTATATGGCATATATATTCATGTAGATAATTATAGTGATATTAAAATTATTGATCTGCTGATTTTTCCTCTGAATGACATGCTTTTCCAAAGGAAAGTTTAATTTCTATTTTGCAGGTTTCTAACAAAGCACAATTCTGTTGTGATATAATACAACAGCATTTCTAAAGGGATTTATTTGATTTGGAAGCTGAAGGATGTTCTTTAAAATGTTTATTTTCTGCAGTTGGAAACTATATATATATATATGTGTGTGTGTGTGTATAATTGTGCACAACCAAATGAAGATTTAGTAACCTAAATTACTATATTTAGAAGCTTGGCAAGTTATCTGGTTTGAATTCTTAATTGGAAACAAATGTTTACTGTCTGGGTCCTTTTTTCTCAAGTCTGGATTTTTTTCATTGAAATTGATAACATATAATGTTATCCAAATGTAGATGTGGCAGAGTTTTCCTGAGCAACTGTACAGATGAAATCTTATTCTAAGAAGATACCATGCTGCAAATTATACCACTCTACTGTTAATTTAGAAAAGCTTTTTTGGGTATAGAATAGTTTTGTTTTACTATCATTACTACTATATACTATTTGTTTTGTTTGGTCACAAACCACCCAAAGTTAAATGCTTTGAATTCCCATTGCTTTCACTGAGGCCTTTAAGCAAGTGGTTGAATCTCGTCCATTGAAGCCTGATTAACAGATTATTTAAGAGAAAATGCTCATGGATATGGTGATGCCAAATGCTCTTCTCTAGGCATTCTGGACATCAGGCAACAGTATTGGAAAAGCCAAATTTATACTACTTCCGTGCAAAATATACTAATCTGCTTTCTTTGTATAATGTGCTTTCCCTGTGTACTGTGACTCTGATTTTGTGATTATTGCAAACTTGAAGATGCTTAGTGAGTGTAAATCTAAGGAAGCAAAAATGGTTCCAGGTTTCCTCTGAGAGGATCTTACAAAGTCTTTATACCAAAGATGCCATGTTTGTTGAGTTCTGTAAGGCTGTGCAGAGCGAAGATGCCTCTATGGACTTGTGCTCACTCTGTCTGCTCTGTCTAGGTCAGGGGTCGGCAACCCGCGACTTCAGAGCCGCATGTGGCTCTTGAATCCCTCTGCTGTGGCTCCGGAGCCCAAAATATGCGTCACAGCCGCTGATCTGCGACTGAGGCTCCGAGTTACAAAGTACCAATAGGTGATGATGAGGAGTCCACTCAGGAACCCTGCTCTAGCTGGTTAAGTAAATTGCTACATTCCTTTGCTATTGTGCAGGGAAAGAGTGGAACAAGCTTCTTGCAGGCTCTCATGTTACACTAAACAGCTGCTGAAAAGATTCTCTTTGTCCAAATGTTATCTCCTTCCTCTGAATGATAAAAGCTGCGCTTGGGACCTGTCACACTTCACATCACTTGACTTTTTATCTGCTAATCAGATTTACTGAACTCCCCCCCCCCCCAGGCCAACCATGGATAAATCAAAGAAAAGTTTCTGAAGAAAACCAAATGTTTAATGGTACGTGGGTAGATTCATTTGCTTTTACTGCTGACGAACTTATGGGGGTTGCTGTTTAATGCATGCAGCCCTTTAGCACTGACTTTGACTCTTCTGGAAGCTGTTCTTCTATTCAAAATATATGAAAGGAGTCCTACTAGTTTATAATGTAAGATTAAAAATAACAGTTTTTAGTGACTGAACAAGAGCTGCAGCTAAACCATAATGAAGATATACATAGCATTAAGGTAAAAAATGATATATGCAGTGTTATCTTTATTTTAGATGTCAAAAGGGTTTTGTGGCTCCCGGTGTTTTCTTTGTGTGGGAAACGGGTCCAAATGGCTCTTTGAATGTGAAAGGTTGCTGACCCCTGGTCTGGATGAAGGACATAGTGTGGACAAATGCGTCCACTGTTAGTCTGTCACCAAACAGGCTTGCAACAATCAAGAAAATCGCCTCAAGAAAGTGCTGTGGGATAGAGCCTTGATCGCAATGAAAGAGGTCACAGCTCAGCCTTCCTTCAGCCACCAAAGGAAGTGCCCCTCCACGTGCCGATCATAGTGAGAGTGCCAAGTCTTCTAAACAGCACTCAGAACGGTCTCAGTCTCCTAAGAAACATAAGGAGAAAAGCACCTCAAGACCAAAGGGACCACTAAAGACAAGCAAACCGAAGAAAAAGAAGCAGTATTTTCATTCAGCATGGAAGAATGTTCCATACCAATATACAATGGAACAAGGCACCTTGGTGCTGAGGGAGCCTCCATTATGTCCTCCTTCGATATGGACGGCGCTAGACCATCCATCTCCTTGCCTCATGCCAATCCCTTTGCCGAGATTCACAACCTCACTTCAACCCAACCAAGACTCAAGCACTGGAACAGATGGTCAGAACTTCATTAAAATCTGGTCAATGTGGCTTTTAATTGCAGACAGTAGAAGGAAAGTACACATTTTTCTTGCTTCTGAAAATAATTCTGAATTCCAATTTGGCTTCACAACGTCTAAGTAGTGATAGTTGTTTCTTAATGCAGCAGTATACATGTCTGGACTAATGATGGATCTTTAGGTCTGGAAAACTAAATTTGGTTATAGATGAAATGACCAACTATTTCCCTTGTTTTCAAGGGATGCATGATTTTTCTTCATAGTTTTCAAAAATCTCCATAGCCGCCTGTTAAACCAAGAAAGGCCAAATTCCTAGGACAGGTTTCTCTCTTTCTGAACTGCTTTTAGAATATTGGCTCCCGCTCCTGTCTCTCTCAGTATCTTAACTTGGGAACATCTGCTGCTCTGAACTACTCTGCTCTACTCTATTTGGTGGAAATTGCAACTGGGAAATTATTTGGCACTGCTATGAAATTCTCTGAGGAAATTGTCTAGTCTTGGTGCCATGTACAGTGGTACCTCAGCTCATGAATGCCTTGGTTCATGAACAAATCGGGTCACGAACAATTCTGAAAAATTTCGACTTGGGTTGCGAACACCACTTTGGGTGCGTGATCAGAGGTGCGCTGCTGCACGAAAGACGGGAGCAGTGAAGCAGAGTTGTGAGGGAGATGGCCGAGATTCCACCTGTCCTTCCTGCAGGAGTGCGCCTCTGATCAGGCATGTCTTCCCTGCACAAACAGAACTGCAATCGCGGCCATCTCCTCACCCCCAGCGCACCGTTTGCGCCCATCTCTCCCTCCCCCAGTGTGCCTGCGATCATGCCCTTCTCTCCCCCCAAACCCCCAGTGCGCCGGAATGACAGACACGTGCAGAGATGACAGGCGTGCACACAGATGACAGGCACGATCTCGGTCGTGCTGAGGGGGTGGGGAGATGGCCACACTTGTGCTTGGGGTGTGGGGGGAGGGAGATGGCTGCAGTCTTTGTTGTTGTCACTTTTCTTCACATTTTTCTGATTTAAAAAATGGTCAGAACGGATTAACCTTATTTACATTGAACCTTATGGGGAAATTTAACTTGGGTCATGACCAGTTTGGGTCACGACCAGAGTCCTGGAACTGATTAGGTTTGTGAGCTAAGGTACCACTGTACTCTGGTGTAAGAGACAGCATGCTTATGTACGAGGGTTGTTGGGGAACACAATTGTGGTGGTGTTATTTTCCTCTGTCCTACCTGGAGGTTTCCTCACAGGCAGCTGGCTGGCTACTGTGGGAACAAAATTCTGGGCAAGACAGACCTTTTGTCTGATCCAGCATGTCTCTGTTTCTTTGACAGCTTCAGAAGCTCGCTCCTTCTGTCTGTCCGTCCGTCCTTCTTTCCTAACGAGAATTGTATGCATGCCTGTCCTTTTTGTCTTTTCATTTATATCAGAATTTTCTAGTTTTTGGTATAATAGGATAATATCAATGTGAAGTGTCCAACTTTAAATATTGTTTAAAACACTTTTTTGCCATTTAGAATTCACATTTTGTGGCCTTATTGGGTTATAAAATGGGTATTACAGGTGACAGTTTATTACATGGTCTTTGTCCGTAACTTCTTCAGTGCTGTGAAAGCAAGATATCATAAGCCAGTGTATTGGTAGCATTTACCTTGAGGAATATTGTGCATTCTGTTCTTTCTCCTCGCTGATTAGTTAAATGGGGGAAAGAAGATGTGATAAAATGCATCCCACTGTGTGGCAGAACACTATAGTCTTCTAATTCCATATGTTGTTGCAGCCACTCTCTCTTGTCTCTTGCCAGCCTGTTGTCCAGTGTTCGCTATATTATATTACTGCAAATATTGTCTTTGGTCCATAATCCCACTTATATCAAACTGTAATGGCAACATCTTGATTGATCTTATCTCTCTGTTTTTCAGTGATTCTTCTAGAAGGTTGTTGGTGTATGTATAGAGTCTGGTTCTAGGTGTTCCAGTCTTTTTAGTGATTTAGCCTAGATATTGCAAAAATTAGATAAAGCAGATCAACCACCAACAAAGTAATTCATTACCTTCAATTGTAGCCTTCCCCCACTACCAGCAAAAAATGTCAGAATATGTGCTTGTGTCGGCTTTCCTTTCTTATCTTTAACATACCAGAAAATTGCTTCAAAGGGCTTTTGCACTGTTGCTTGGTTACAGCATTGTGTCACTCCTGAATAATAATGAGTTGGATTTTAAACATTCTCACTTTGTTCAAGAATCTGAACAGACATAAACTAAATATAATGTAACAAGGAAATTTCAGGTATCAGGTAGCTGGACAGTAATGCTCAACTATTTTTAGGCAAATAAAACAGGTTTGCTTATAACTTCTGATTCTTATCCACGCTTATATCTTAGTGTGTATTTCACACAAAATAAGCAGTGTGGTGCCGAAAGATTTCTGGTATGGCCTAGACCCCAGCTGATGTTTCATCAGTGGAAGTATCCCCTTAACAAAGCTAGGCTAGGATGCTCTCAGTGGCAAAGAGGTGAAAGGATCATTTTCACTAGTTTTTTTCCACCTGCTGGCGACCAGTTACAAGTGCCAATGCCTTCAGAGTGCTCAAGTGGCACACTGGAGTAGCTGTCATTGGTTTACCTCTTTCTTCCTCCTCCTTGTGCCTGAGATTTGCACAGATTTTTCTCCCCCTCCCCGCTTTTTGTCAGTAGTTCAGAGTTGCATACATGATTATATGCAGTGCCCATCAGTGCCCTAGGTGCTGTCCTCTCTCAAAGTACAGGAGTGCCATCCCTGGATACTGCCAGAGCAAGTCTACAAGTCCTTTCATTTGAGATGCTACGGGAGAAACTTTGCTCAGGAAATAAGGTGGCAAGTAGATAACTCCAATTGAAGTGAGATCTTCTAGTTTGTTTGTTTAGACCTGACCATTCTCTATGTTCTCCACCTTTTCTTTCCCTTGATTCTAGGTGCTTTGGAAAATGGGAAAGTGAGAGACATCACTGTGGGTTCAGTGGCCCAGGCTTCGGTGATATGACCGATCATGGGTGCAACAACCTCTGCTTCAAGACATTGGTTGGGAGGATGACTTGTTGCCTTAAACAAGCCACCCCTGTGGGAAACAGTCTGGGTTCAGATAACCTATCATCCTACAATAGCTAGTTAGCCATGATGGCTTGCCATGTTGTGTGCACTTAGTCAGAGTGTGCTAAGCTATAACAAGTTCCCCTGTCCAGTAGGTTACTTACAATGTCAAAATCACAACTCTAAAAAGAGACAGAATCATAGCACTAAGGGTATCTGCTCCAGTGGAGACTGTGTTATTCTTCTGTCCTAAAAACAATAGGACTTTCTGCAATTAAAAAAAAAAAGAAAAGTGGAAGTAGTGCTGGGAAAGCATGGCAAGATGACAAATGAATGATAACATCCTGTAGCACTCCCATGAAATGTGAGTGAATGATGATTTGACACTAAATGCTTGTCTGGAAGCAGCCCAAGTGCCATACTGTCCTGGAAAATATTTGGTATGTTTATACCACCACTAAGCACAATAAATTCATGGAATTTTAGGGTTGGAAAAAGGACCTTATGGAATTTAGTGCAAAACCGCAATAGTAGCTTTTCTTATACTTGCTATAGCTGACTAAATTCCCCACAGAAGAAACATGTTTGTGAAGAATATACTACTGTAAGTAAAATATCACTGTTCAGTTCTTTGGTGTCCATTATACAACCCTTCTTTTTTGTACATGACCTAAATAACACATGCACCTTTGTGTTTAATCTTCTAGACTATATGTGCACATATTTCTTTGAGACATGGACTGAGAACTTGGATCTCTGGTATAACAGGTTAAGGGTGCAGTCCTGTTGATTGTGCTTTTGATGCTTTTAAGTCCCTGAAGTCAGAACTTATGAGCATCTAGTGCAGAGTGGGAGTAATGCTGGAAGCCACTGCTACCTAGCTGCACCTCCTGCTCTGCATTTTAGCTTTCGGCCATCTGGCTGAGTAAATATATGGGGAGAGCAGGAAGCTGAAGTGTTCCCCAGATACATTGTAGGGGGATCAGAACACAGATTCCCAGCCCTGAGGTCAGAGCCCTGATCTAACCATGCATCTGGGAATCTGATCCTTTGGCCTTCAAAATGATGTCCAGAGGCCATAGAATCACTCTCTGAGCATCAGCTTCTCCCATTGACTTCTAGCACATTCAATACAAAATGCATGTTAACTGTTAAAATAGGATATTCTTTGGTGGTTCCCTTTGTGGGGGAAGATTCTTACTGTTATTGTCTTGTAGTTTTGAAATGTTTTAATTTTTTTTCAGTCCTAGCTTTTTGGCTTTCTTTGACTAAAGGTTAAATGAGAATATTGCAGTGTTTAGATGTAATGTAACTTGCATGTAATATAACTATCCAAAGAGTATAGTAAGAGAATTTGACTTTAACTATGGCAGTATACCCAATGTAACACAAGGGAAGATTGTACAGAAGTTTAGTTCCATTTCCTTAAAATATGAGTTAGGGAAACAAATAGATTTCCTGCTAAAGAACATTAAATATATACATTATTCTTTTGTGGGAATATTTGTGGGCAGTGAAGTAACTTGAGGCCACTGGAATCCTTGGAATGTCTTCTGAATTCAACTCTTTTAAAACACTTTAAACTAGTCATTTTGCTGCTGCTGCTCTTTAGCTTCATCTGGAGAACAGCCTGTCTGGCTGAAACAAAGCATCTTTTTACCACTTTGGAAGCAGGCAGCAAAAGATTTTGTTGTAATTATTAATAACAAAGTAATCTGTCAGTGTGTCCATATGAAAAATGCATTTGCCATTGTTTTAGCCATGGTTATCCTGAGTAGAAAGAGATGAACACAATAGTTCAACTTTGTCCCCAGACTTGTTCAACAGTGGAACAACGTTTGCCCCTGCTACCTACCAAATTTAAGAATTCTGGTATTCATGTTTACATTTACCAATGTTAAGGGCATTGTTATATAATTTGGCAAGAAGCAAATAAAATATGAAAATACGGCCCACCTTGATTGTTTTTGTAGATCAGTTCATTTTATGAATAACTATTCCTCAAGCTGTAATTTTGTAAATGGAAAACAAGCTTCATTTCAGTTATTTTTGGTGTCTGAGAAAAAATAAACTGACTGCTTCTGTGTTATAAATTGTGTGTTTGGTATGTACTTACTGGATCTTGTTTCTGATGGGCTCATTGTTAAGAAAATCAGCATTATAGTGTGAAGAATTATAATGTGAAGAATCATGGTGTGTTCTGACAGAGGCAATGGCATATATAAATGAACACATATAATTTTTATCTGAGAAATGATTAAGGTATGTAAAATATCTAGATAAAAATATGAAAATTGTTTCCTTGTTCTCCAAGGCTGAGACTGATGCTTTAAAAAAATAGTTGGGCAGATCTAGAACTTTTGTGCATTTTTAGCACATACGTATATTTTCTTTTCTTAACAGAAATTTGGTGAAGAAGTACTGTCCTAAACGTTCATCCAAAGATGAAGAGCCCAGGTAAAATGAATGGGTTTGCTAATGCGAAACAGCAAACTATTATTATATTTAATCAGTGCTATTTTCTGCAAACACTTGAATGAGGCCCCAATCCCCATACGCTTGTATGCTTTTTAAAGTTTGCATTCATTTGGGTGTTTTAACACCAGTCGGTTTCGAGAGGTTGGTTGATTGTGTCATTTCACTAGTGAAAATGTGCTAGCTGTAGAAACGTAATTTTCAAGCTTGTACAAGTTTTAAATCCAGAAGTTTGATTTTGCTTCTGTGAGCTTTTGACCAACTCACTGTAACTTCACTAGGCTAGGCATTTGCTTCTTGTACAATATGTTCCTTAGTAACCCCCCCCCCCCCGCCCACACACACACACCTCTTCAGCTGATGTACACTGGATACTGCTCTATACATTCAGAAATTACAAGGAGAAACTAGAGTATAATTATGTGAACCTCTTTCCAAAAGATAAGAAATTGGAAGGAGCGGGTAAATTACTCTCCTAAGAGTCCCTAACATAATGTCCACATATTTTGGATTTTGCTGTGAACTCTTTAGTTACTTCATAGTAAAGATAAAGATATAAACTTGTTTCTGGACCGTGCCATTTATTGCTGGTGACGTATAATATGGTTGAATGTTTCTCCATACAAAGCAATTCACTAGAAGAAGGGGAGGCTAGATTCTTTCTCTCTGGATACCTAGTTTTCTGTGTTGGAAGGGTCACCCAACCATGCAATCCCCCACTAACAGTCTGAAGTGGGTGGGTAAAGCCCAGAAACCTGTTTACTGCTTCATTTATTGTTTCTGACAGCAGGCCTGTATTCATCACTTAATTCGTTGTGTTCTTCTTGCTGCATATTCTGCTCATATGCTAGACACTAGTCACGTAATGTTGCTTTTTTTTGGTGGGGGCGATGTCTGAAGGCAGTATAAAGTATACTGACACTTTGTAAGTAACAGTGCTGCTTGGTTACAAAAAGGGGCTGAATGTCCAAGACGAGGTTCCTTTGTGAAGCTGTACGTCAAAAACACTGTAGAGGTACTCTGCATAGCTGTAAATTTCTGACAAACTTGGCATGCTGTGTGGTGTAGCCTTCCCTTGTAGCATCACTGTTAGTATTTAAAGGAACCTCATCTGGAGCAAATTTCTCACTGTTCTGTGCTTGATTTAGTCGGCAATATTTGTCATGCTAAAAGGACACATAGCAAAAACTCCCCACCACCATCACTATCACTACTGGAAGTGCCATTGCCTCAGACCATTGACTCAGATAGCCTAGCTCCTTTAAGACAGAAAGAGTGAAACCAGGTTTATTTCACAGGGTTCATCAGCTTTATTCTTATGCCTCTGGCTAGGGATGCCTTATTTCTACTTTTTTAAAAGGTACAATTTTTTTCCCTCTAAAACAAAGCCCACTATTAAAGGAACTATTATTGGGTTGAGAGAGACCTGGTGGACCATATATGCTTACCCAAACATCTAATAACGAGCAGGATTTAACTTGATTAACAAAACGTATTTCTCACGGGAGAGCATTGTGAGCAACTCGTTTTTACTTTAACATCTTCTAAAGAAAGCTGGATAACAGTACTTCCAGATGCTGATATGGAGTTCGACCTGACAACTTAAAATGCCAACATCCCACAGATTTATGAGAGAGTTCTATTTTTTTTAAATACAGTGACTTGTTTTTTGTTTCTCCCCTTCCATACACATTTTCTACCCTTATTTTTTTCCTTCCTCCTTCTTCCCTTTTCACTCCCCGTTTTTTTAGTGCCAGCAATAGTGTGGCACCTTTCCCTCCAACCCAAGAGGTGAGCAGGCAAACAGGCAGCTGTCTACAGAGCTGGTAGCAAAATTGTTCAGTAGATCATCCATCGGGATGCATATGAGTGGTATGATTGGCATGTTCCACCCTCAAGATCAAGCAAATCATCTCTGCAACAAGTTCAGCTTCCCAAGCCTAGGAACTTAAGTTCATTCTTAAGCTCAGTTCTTCCATTTCGCATCTTAGGAGATACTACTATACTGCAGGGCTTTCCAGGTAGTATTCTTTATTATTTTCCACCTCTTCAAATCTATTTTCCATTTTTTAAAAAGTGTGTGAAAAAATGTGTGTTTTGAGTGTCTCTGCTGTGTACACTACTCTTCAACTAATTTTCTTAAGGTTTTATACCATGCTAAATTGTGACCTATTTTCTGTTGCCTTTGAAGAACAAAAGCCACGACTACTTAATAAAGAAATGTGACATCTCTTTTCTGCTCTATTTTGTCAGGTTTACCTCATGTATAGCCTTTTATAATATCCTCAATGAATTAAATGACTACGCAGGACAACGAGAGGTAGTAGCAGAGGAACTGGGGCATAGGGTATATGGAGAACTGATGAGATATTCTCATGATCTCAAAACAGAAAGAAAAATGGTAAAGAATGAATTCCTTTTCAGTTATATACTGCTACCAGTAGAATTTATGTAACTATTTATTTTGCTGTTATTCTAGTGATCAAAAATTTAGAGAGGCATTTTTTGTAGGAAGAACGTATTTGGTGTAGCAGTGTACGGTTCTTGAAGTTGCGTAGTTGGACTTCCCTCTGTAATGTACTTCAAACATTACATGCTTCTAAACTACTGAAAGATAGCCCATTTAAAGAAAAGGATGATTTGTCAAATTATTTTTGTGATAAGTTAATGTTTGTGCTGCACTGACCTCTGCATGCTTATTCAGTGTAGCATAATCCCAAGTAAGTGTGTTTTATTTATTTATTTAGGATATTTGTATGCCGTCCTTTGCAAAAGTCTCAGAACGGCTTACACAAATAAAATACAAATATCTAACATAACATAAATAAGATTATGTTTAAGATTAAAGCCAAGGCATTTGAGTGTATTTGTCTTTTAATTCTCACACATTGGTTTAAGGATTAGAGAGATGTGATACAGTCCAGAATCATGGATTTAATAGGTCTGCATGTGTAGCTAGTATTTCTCTGGAACTTTTGCCACTACCATTCCTATAGACAAGCAAGGTGTAAATTTATTTATATTCATTATTCAATTTATAAACCACATGCAGATTTAAATACTGTTTAGACCCTACTACAGGTTCTCTTACATTTATTGAATGATGATAAATATTTAAAAGATTGTGTTAAAAACAGGTTGCCTCATCAACTCTAAGAAATGCAGCAGTGAAAACAGAAGATTAGTTGCACCTGTGTTTCCTTTGCACAAATTTGCTTTGGATTTTAGCCATAGAAAGGGGGAAATTTTCAAGTGTCACAAATAGAATTTAAAGTTTCCCTATTAATATAAGATAGTATGACTAGCAGTTCCTTCTGCTGTATTTCAGTACAGCTATGGAAAGTATACTTTTCTCAGAAGAAACAATGCATATAAAGATATACATGTGAATATGTATTAGTAATGTTTGATGAGAATATATATATATGTGATTGTAATGATCTGCACCTTTCTTTGACATTATTTTCTGCTGCTTTATTTCCATTGTTCAGTGCTCTACATGTTGCATTTTTTGAAACAATTTTTAAAATAATACAAGGCTGGGCACTTCAGCCAAACAGAATATGCTAATGATACGAGGGATCATTTTTACTTTATTTTATCTCATTTTTGTTTATAATTTCCAGCATCTTCAGGAGGGTCGAAAAGCTCAGCAGTATCTTGACATGTGTTGGAAGCAGATGGACAATGTGAGTCTTCCATTTCTTTTTCTTCCTATGGTATTTCCCTTAGGATTACACAGTTTGATGAATGCTTGGTGCCAAAAAGAAGTAATTGTAGGTAAACCTTGTGATCACTGGGCCATCACACTTTTTTCCATAGGCAAATTGGAAATTAAAGATTCCAAGTAATATAATTAAAGAATACAAGTAATGTAACCTTTACAGTTCTAATTATAATGATTTCCATTACAGTGGAGGTCCTTATAGGACTACTTTTCCAATTAGCAGCCTCTTGTGTATGGGAATATCACTTAGATGAAATTACAAACTAAACTTCAGTGATATTAGAATTTCTTGAAAATATTTCCTAGCCCTGTAACTCTGCACATCATTATAGGGAACAATTTCCAATAAAATAGAACAACTATATGGATCAGTTAATATCAATCAGCATTTTTCCAGTGACTTCTGTGAGGCTTGACCTGCATCTATGGATGTTGGTTTTCATTTACTTCTCCCTTAGCCTTTTATACAAATCTAATTAGTAACTTCATTTGATGGGACATAGCCTCTTCAGTCTTAGGTTCTTTCCCTGCACACAGTTTTTATTCTAATTGGTCTCAGACTATTTTTTCTTAATTAACCTAACATTATTCTAAAACATGTTGATATAATTTTTAGGGATGTTAGTAGAATTACACTGTGCAACTATGGGTTGCATTCAGACTGACTCCATTGGTCAACCTTCATGCCTCTGACTCCTCCCCTCCCCCTTCTAAACATTTTACTAGGGAACTATATTTCATTTGAAGCACTGTGTTTTTGAAAAGGAGATTAGTAGTAGTAATAATATTAAGAACAATCTATAGTGCTGCTCCCCAGTACACAAAGTGATTCATAAACATTCTATCCGTAAACTTTACTCAAGTCTTTACAGTTTGCTGGTATCCCCTTATTTCAGAAGTAGGAGCAGGCTAAGATTGAGAGAAGACCACCTACCTAAGACTATTTGGGCTGGAGGAAGGATATAGTTGTTATAGCTGAAGGCAGTTTGAGAGAGGGGCCTGTGCTCTTGAAGTGAACCATCATCTCATTTTCCCCTCTGGTAAAGAGGTTTTGTTGAGTTTTGTAGTGGTTTAATCTACTCCTTCATCAGAATCTGTCTGACTTGGTGATAGGGGGACAAAAGGGTTGGGTTTTTTAATTACATAATGGAAAGTGGATGTCTCTTAAATCCATTTCAGCTCCATTGCCTGTTTCTAGCCCTGATGGAGGTGAAATTTGAATCATCGATCTCCTGGGTCATACTCTAAATTATTATTTTATGTATCAGCTTCCAAGAATTTAAGACTTGGTCCATCTACCAATCTTTCTAGAGCGTCAAGCAAGCATACAGTGGGTGAGGAAGGAGTTAACTTGGTTGCTGAGTGAGAGTTAATTAGTGTATCTGAGAGAACAAATATCTTCATGCATGAAAATGGCTATGCTACTGTTTACATGTTGGAGTAGGCAGGGTTTGATGAATGTTCAAGAACTAACTTTAAACAATGAAAGGGAGTGCAAAACTAATAAATATATTCCTTGTAAAGTTAATATTCCTAAAGTGGTGGGGCATGCACTACAGAAGTGTTAGCTTTGCTATATTTTGAAGTTATATTTTGTTTGTTGTTAGCATCAGAAGAGTACAAAATTTGTAATATTAGCAAAAAGGTGGGGGAGGCATTTTTTCATGATAGAATGGAAAGCTCACCGAAAAGGTGTGGGCATTGGCAAGAGAAAATTGTTTGTACTCTTACTAGCAATTCTTTCACAGGCATTATGGCTCCTGACCCTTGCACTGTAATAGCCTGGATCATACACCAGGTTAATATTCTTCTTTGTGTGGTGAGGAGCATTATGACATGACTTTTCCATTGTTCATATCATACCACATGTAAATAGGCACATGGTTTACACAAGCTTTCCTCTCCTTTTTTGAGGAGGAGAGTAGTAAGCACTAGGTGAGATGTTTTGAACTACAGCCCCCACCATTCCTGGCCATTGGCCATACTGGCTGCAGTTGATGGAGTTTGAAGTCCAAAATGTCTGAAGAGCACTGGGTTGGAGAAGGTTATAATTGGTCATTATGCATACTGGTTTCTGCAGGGATCTCCTGCCTTGTTTATTGAATTATGTTCAGGGAGAACAAAAAGGCCATCTCCTTCAATACTCTTAGAATATCAATAGTTTATGGAAAAGAACAAGAAAATATGATTCAAATGCTGGGCAAGTGTGATGATATAGCAACAGAAGCTCTACCTTCAGGGTAGACATATCAATACTGTGCAGTGAGTAACAGCTGTACATTTATTGCACTAGAAACATTAGAACGAATACTGTGCAGCTAGAGTATTTTTCTTCTTTCTCTCCCTTTCCCCTTTAGTCCTTTCTTGATGCTTTTAAATCTCAGGGATGCTTCAAAATTAACTTGCAAATACAGGGCAAAGGGGTTGCTGTCATAAAGGTGGGAGGAGAAGAAATAGCTAAGGACATATATAAGTCCTTTGAATATTTAAAAGGACATGCTGCCTTCTCATCTTAACTCTGACATGGTAGCTAAGCTTAGGACAATGCAAATTGGTAGGCTATGGATCTGAATTGCAATAGTAAGCAAGTATAAAGAAATAAAAGTATATTGTATTGATGTATAACTGTAACATGGTATCCTTGCATTGTAGAGCAAAAAGAAATTTGAGCGGGAGTGCAGAGAAGCAGAAAAGGCACAGCAGTGTTACGAGAGACTGGACAATGATACCAATGCCACTAAAGCAGATGTTGAGAAAGTAAGATCTTATTAGAAATGCTAGCATGTTTTTGCTCCTATAGCAATATTTGAACATCACAGTTTTGTGAGGCAGTGCTACTTTTTGAAAATCCAATATATATATATCAAGGGGTACCATATTTTCTAATCAGGCTTAAAATATAGAAAATAAAGGAATTTTAAGAAAAAGAAGTCTTAACCTCAGAATTTTATCACACCTGCTTCCAGCTATCCTGTAATCATGTTTGGTGAGTTCTGCTGCATCTTGTCCCTTCTCTGATTGCAAAGTTTTATATGATGATTGAATACAAGTAATTAAACATAGATTTCTACACCATTTTCAATAATAAATCATCTTAATTTTTTTCTCTGCTTTTCTCTGTTTTACTGCTAACATCTCATGACAAGCAGCAATGTTTACATTTTATACTTAATAGCATTCTTAAATTAAACATGTAATCAGTATCTTTCGATCTTACTCATCTTTAAACAATGCTATTTTTTCATGTTATAACAAAAGTCATTACCAAGAAAGGCAATCAACGTTTTGGACTTTGATTGGACTAATGTTTGAGCAGTAGGGCTTTTCCGTCCTCCATGCACCACTGAATCTGTTCTGGAGAGTGCCCTGATCCTCAGGAGCAGATTTTATCTGTTCAGTCAGAATGGGGACTACAGGGGGAAATGGAATCCATTCTGCCAGAGTACAGATACTGTTGGATTTTACACTAGCTAATACGGGAACGCAGTGGCACTGTGGGTTAAACTTGAGCCGCTGGGCTGTTGATTAGAAGGTCGGCCGTTTGAATCTGCATGCTGGGGTGGTGAGCACCTGCTGCTTTGTCCCAGCTCTTGCCTCCTTAGCAATTTGGAAGCATGCAGATGCAAGCAGATAAATAGATCTGACTTTGGTGGGAAAGGTAACAGTGTTCTGTGGGCCTTGGTGTTTAATCATGCCAGCCACATGACCACAGAAGCGTCACCAGACAACGATGGCTCTTTGGCTTACAAACAGAGATGAGCACCGGCCCCAGAGTCGGACACAACTAGCATGTCATATATGTGATGGAACCTGTACCCTTATCAATAGAGGAAGACAGGCCAATGCTGTTTCAGCTTTTGTTACTATAACTGCTAAGCCCTGATCATTTGATTATTCATCTAATAATTATTTCAGAATATCAGGAGAAGTTCAGGTTATCTGCCACTGTCATATAACTTTTTCTTTCACAGACTCCCAACTTATTTAAGGCGTTGTTTTTATTTATTTATTTATTTATTATTTATTTATTTATTTATTTATTTATCTTTTTTATCTTTATATCTTTTATATATCTCACTAAAATACAAGTAGGCATTGATCCTGTGATACTGATAGCAGGAGAACTAGGGTAAAAGGTAACTAGGGCAAGAGTGAACAAACCCATATTTTTCATCAGTATTAGCAGCAAACCACAGGAACCTAGGAAGCTGCCTTCTATTTAGTCATACTTAGTCCATCTAGTTGGTCCATCTAACTCAGTATTGTCGAAGTTGACTGACAAAAGGTCTCCAGGGTTTCATGCAGCATTCTTTCTTAGTCCTACCTAGGATGTCTAGAACCTTCTGCCTGTGATTTGCCCTTAAGCTATAATTTTTGCTTCCTTATGATTTCATGTGACCAGGAAGTGTTCATAAATCATCTGCCCTTTTAACTTGCTGTATTCTAAAAGGTATGCTGGTGAAAAAAAAATCAATGGAGAATGTTAAAGGCAGAAACGCTAACCAGATTTTCATGTCTGTATGTTTGCTCTCTGTGTGTGCGTGTGCACATGTACTCCTTTGGGGGGTTGTATGATATATTTATTGCCTTCCGAAATGAGTGAATTTGTACAAAGCAGTGTCAGTGGACTGTTGCCTGGGTGAGACAGTTTGTCTAGGTGGGTACTTAAAAGTCTCTTTTCAATTCATTGTTTGAGGTTAGCCTGCAAATAGACACACTTGGGTTCTATTTCCTGTATATTGTGTTAGAATAAACTACCTAGTGGAAAAGTCGAAAACTGTGAATGTTTTCTGTAACTAATGACAGAAATATTTGGGGAGATGCAGAAAATGGTTATGCATGTTTGTAAATATAAAATCTTTCTGTGATACTGCAAATGCTAATGAAAGGCTACTAAGTCATTATTGATGGTAATTAAGGGTAATGGTACTTATGGTGAATATGTTACTAAGATCTTGTTTAAACAATTAAAAAAATGGTTGTATTGATCAGCCTCTCTTTAATTAGGCAAAGCAGCAATTAAACCTGCGTACGCACATGGCTGATGAAAACAAAAATGAATATGCTGCACAACTGCAAAATTTCAATGGTGAACAGCACAAGCATTTCTATATTGTCATTCCTCAAATTTACAAGGTATGCCTTCCATCTAAAAAAGTAAATTTTATTTATTGGAGTGTGTGGAATGGCTTCTACATGTTCATTAAATGTTCAGGATAGAAAGTGTGATGGGTTCATTTAAATAAGCAAACATATCCCCAGAAAGTACTTCTCTTACCAGTTACCCTCCTCTCCTGTTGTAATGGTATTATTAGCTTACCATGGAATAGAGCTCTAAAAGGTAAGTGTACCTGAATTCTGTTTGTCATCTTTGGGATTTGGAAATTTGAATTATGCTTGTATTAAATGCTTGATTTTCCTACAGCAGTTATATTCAACAAGCATTTGTGTGTGTTACATTGTATGTGAAACAAGTTGTCCTCTTAGTTAATGATGGCTGTGGGAAATCCCTAACCTCAGCCCTAAATCCCATTCAGTGGAATCTCAACTTGTGTGCTTGTGTTCGGGATGCTTCCACTGGTTTTAACTCATCAGGGATTTTTTAATTAATCTAAAATATGTATGAGTCACTCTTCTTTTATAAAGAATTCTTGAGCCGCGAAGAGATTAATTTGTTGCTTTGCTTTCCCCTGACAGCTAACAGAAAGCCATATAAATATTTTTGTTGAAGAATGGACTCACCTATGCATCTCTTTTCCCCAGCAAGACCCTCTAGTGTTGGAGCTGACTTCTCTCAGTGTCTTGCTTCTTTTCTTCCCTTTTCTGATACTCTAGATACTTGGGAAAGTAGAAGGTACAAGCCGCTCAATTTACAGGAGCATGGAATTTTGACAGCTATCAGAACTTAGGCTACCTATTCAAATAGAGTTTTTGAAAAGGTTACCCAGGGTATTTTAATGGACACACACACACACACCCGTGTGTGTGTGTGTGTGTGTGTGTGTGTGTGTGTGTGTAAATAGGTGGTCCCCAAGTACAAATGTCTGAGTTACAAACAGCCTGTACTGTGGAAAATGGTCTTCACCATGGGGGGGGGGGGGGATGGAAGTGAAAGGGGAGAAAGGAAGGCCTCCAAAGCATACCTTCCTAGCCCTGCCCATCTGGAGAGGGAAATCTCTCCAGCATTTCGTTGCTGCAAAGAAGAGGTGCTGATGAGTTTGGGCAGGTAGTGGGTAGAGATATTAGGGCTGACTATACATGATCCAATTTATATATAAATTTGACTTAAGGACAAATTTCCATTTTCTCAGGAACAGAACTCATTCATAACTCAAGGACTGTCTATATATTAAGCATATGTGTCTCTAGGAAAAAAATGATTAGCTTTTTCAAAAGCCCCATTTTGAAAGGAAACCTGAGTTTTGATACCTCCTGCCAAATCAAACACCCTCTGTAAGTGGAGTGGCTCTCACTTTTCCATCTTCCATAGCACCCAGACCTGAGCATCTCATTCTTCCTTTGTGGTCTCTGTGCCTGTTATGAGGAAGATTTATAGCTATGAGCATTTTGGTGGGAACCTTAAAACTGAAAAAAGGAAAATAATATTGATAGGTCCATGTAAATGAACTGTATTTCATTTTAAGGTTTTCTAACATTTCTAAGGAAATACTTTGGGGATTTTATTATATAGGCTCCACTAGCCTTGAAACTTCAAAAATATGAGTACATTTTCAAGTAAATGTGTATGTCAAATAATTTAGAAACCTGCAGATATAATTTCAGCTATGATAAAGATTGGTCTTCTTTTGATATAAAAGTGACCCTTCTATTATTATTTAATTTCAATACCACCCAATGGCCATTCTCTGGGTGGTTTACAACATCACAATAAAATACAATATAAAATATACCATATTAAAATTTCATAAAAGCTTAAGATACAAAATCTAAAACCAAATTTAAAACAAGAATTAGCATTACTTGAAGAACAGTCTTCAGACCTGTTTAGCAGCTAGCAAGCCCCAGTATAGTAACTGAATGCTCTGTAGGAGAGGACAGTCATTACCTGGCACTGAAAAGTTAGTAAAGCTGGTGCCAGGTGGGCCTCTGTGGGGAGCTCATTCCAGAACTAGGGAGCTACCATAGAAAATGCCCTTCCCCTTGTGGCAGCCAGTCAAGCCTCCCTAAGAGGTGGCAGTCAGAGAGAGGCCCCAGAACTTGATTGTAGTGTCTGGTTGGAGGAAGCTTGGGAGTGGCTTTCTGTCAGCTATCGTGGTCCCAAACCATGTAGGGCTTTACGGATTGAAACCAGTACTTTGAATTGGCCTCTGAAGCATATAGGCAACAAGCCAGAATAGGTGTTATATGATCAGACCGTCTAGTCCATGTTGTTAGTCTGGCTGTTGCATTTTGCACAAGCTGCAGCTCCAAACAGTTTTCAAGGGTACCCCCCATGTAACGTGCACCACAGTAATCTAGTTTAGAGATGACCAGAGCATGAATCATAACAGCAGGCTATCTCTGTTCAGATAGCAGCACAGCTGAACCACCAGCTGAAGATGACGGAAAGCTCTCTGAGCCACTGAAGCCGCCTGGGTCTCAACAGACACAGATGGATCAGGGAGCATTCCCAAGCTACAAACCTGCTCCTTTAAGGGAAATGCAACCCACGTTAGAACAGGGTGAATTCCTTTCATCTGGTCAGAAGCACCACCCACTAATAGCATCTCAGCCTTGTCTGGACTGAGCTTCAAGTTGTTAGCTCTCCTCCAGTCCATTGTCACTGTCACTGCTCCCCCGCCAACCTGTCCTCCAGTGTTCCTTGATGCTGTACTAAGTCCCCGGACTCCCGGACAGAGCCGGGAGAAACTAACTCCCCCCACCTTGTTCACCCACTCAGGTCTCAGTCATGCATTGCATATCAGCCACCCCATCCTCTTTTAAATCATAGATCAGGGAGGGTACACTGATGTGGCATTTAAAAGCAGCATCTGGAGACCTGAGGGCAGCCTTCCAATCTATTCTACCACCTCTTCTCTGCTTTCCAGCCTCAGCAATTAGGTTGGTTTTTTTTTTAAACCTTCCATTAGTGCCAATAAAGGCTTTTCAAAAGCCTAATTACCATGCAAGATGTGGAGGGAGCATTGTTGCTGGAGAGGGAAGGCCTAATTCCCTTTGAATGCTGGGGCAACTTTTGAAAAATTTGCTCCTGGTGCTGCAATTAGGCTTTAAAGAATCTTCCATTGGACCAGGGGAGGCTTTTTGCCTTTAGGGGATAAGTTTGTCTCGTGTGGGAGTTGTATGTGCATATGGCTGAATGTATATTATGTGTAAATTTGGATCTCTGTGGGAAAAGGTATGCTATAAATGAAGTCTCTGTGGGTATGCATGAAAGTGAGAGTGTGGGATGGTCTTTGATGCTGGACGTTTTTTACAGTTTCTAGTGCCTCTGGAAGGTTCCCTAAACAGAAATGTGATCCCACCTCTGATTTAGACCATCTGCATAGTGTTAGCATAAGGTTATTGAATCTCTCTTTTGTTGTAGCATCTTCAAGACATGGATGAACGGAGAACCATCAAACTCAGTGAATGCTACAAGGGATTTGCAGATTCTGAACGCAAAGTTATTCCAATAGTCTCAAAATGTTTAGAAGGAATGATTGCTGCAGCAAAATCAGTTGATGAACGCAGGGTAAGTTGAGTTTGTTTTGCATGGTTAGCATGTTTAAATGCATTGTCTTGGAAGTAAATCTAACATATTGTGGAGCATAGTCATATCCTATCATAAGCTGGTTAGAAATTATATTGGTCAAGCTTGTTCAGTATGGTGGCCCATCAAGTTGAATGCATCCAGAGGGCCTCATATTAATGTTTTCCAGGGGTTGCTGCTCCATGTGAGCAATATACGTGGACCTCATCAGACAGCAAAAGTAGGGCACTTTATCGGCTAACTTGCCTGCCAGACAGACTGCTAGCATACTTAACCTGTGCAGAGCTAATGATAGTGAATGTGAAAAGACTTCAGTTTTTCCACGTTTTGCCCAACCTCTTTCTCATCTATTAAGTATTTCACGGTGCTCCATTGTATAAACAATGCCTGTATAATGAAGGAGGCTGACTTTCTTATACATTGTGCAATGGGAATTTTGGGTCTGCTTGCATTCTTATTTTCTTATACTACTTGTTCTTAAATTTGAGTCAGTGTTTCTTCAAGAATTTGTCAGTTTTTGAGCCTTCTTAAAGGGCTTTCTGTTGCCTCCAGCATTTAAGCAGAATTGGGGCTTCCCTTTCCAGGAACAATCCTCCCTCCATAACTTGCATGGCAGTTAGGCTTTTGAAAAGCCTTTATTGACACTAATGGGAAGCGTTTAACTGGGCTAAATTATAGGTTAATTAACCCATGATTTGCCACCATTATGCACAACTGGACTACTAACAGTTCTCTATCATCCTGAGATGTTAACTTTATGTAGTTGATTCATTTGTATGCTGCTTTCCCTTTTTCAGCATCAGCAGGTATACATTCATTGCATGTATGCTTGCCTGCTAGCATTCTGTCTAATAATAGAGTCATAGAAAGGGGCCATTGGGTTCAACTTCCCATTCAATGAAGGACTCCAAGTTAGAAAATAAGGTCCATCTATGCTCTTGGTGGCAAAACATTCATACAGGATGGGTGCAAGACCTCTGCCTGCCCAAGCCCATAGCAACCACCACATGCAGGCATGTCACCTCTGCTAAAAGAGGTAGTATATAGCCAGCAAGGCTAGTAGCCACTGATACCCTCCTCCCTTATTAAATCTCTTTTTTTAAGTCATCCAAACTGGCGGCCATCACTTCCTGTGGCAGTAAATTCCATAGTTTAACTATAGATTGTGTGAAAATGCACTTCCTTTTATCTGTCCTAACCTCTCACCTATCAGCTTCATGGATTCAAGTGTTATAGGAGAAAGAAAAATGTCTCCCTGACAATGCAGTATTTTAAACACCTCTATCACATCTCCCCTTATTCACCTTTTTTTCTAAGTGAAACAGACCCAGCTGTTGTTGCCACTCCTTTCTCTGTACTTTTTCCCCAACTCAATAATGTCCTTTTCTAGGTAAGGTAGCCAGAATTAAACACAATATGCTAAGTACAGTGGTACCAAACATTTGTTATAAGGGGAGTAAGATCTCAGCAGTTCTATTTTCTTTTCTGTTCCTAATTATGCCTAGCATGGAATTTGCCTTTTTCACAGCAGCTGTGTACTGGGCCAGCATTTTCATTGAGCATACTATCCCAAGATCCTATTTTTGCTCAGTCATTCTGTTAAAGATAATCGAATCCATTGTTGTACTGTTTTCTTTATAGGGAGCTGTTTCCAGCCCCCTGATAATCTTTGTTGCCCACCTCTGAACTATTTGCAGCTTGTCTGGAATTTTCTTAAAGTATGGTATCCAGAAATGGAAGCAGTACTCAAGTTGAGGCCTAACCAGTGCTGAGTAGACAGGAACTAGAACTTCACAAGATTTGAAAGTGATATTTGTATAACTTAGCCCAAAATAGCATTTGCCCTTTTTGTAGCCACATCACATTGTTGACTTGTATTTGGCTTACAATCTACAACAATCCTGAGATCCTTCTTGCTTATTAGACTTTTGAGCCAATGACAAATTAACCAATGATATTAAAGTGAGAAAAGGGCACATAAAGAAAAATAAGTTAAGGGGCACATTTATTAAATGCTTTAAAAAGGGAAAGGATTTGTACCATCAAAAGAATCATTGCAGTTTTGGAAAGGGGGAGTGTCCTGAAAGAATGTTTGAATGAGTTTTCTATCTGTGGCATATATCTTATGATTCTTGTGGTGGGGGTCACACTATTGTCAGTATTTATTTTAATTGTATGTTAATTTTATATGTTTTTACTTTACTTGTGTTTTCTTGGTTGGATTTTAGATTAAAAATTAATAAAAATAAAAAAAGACTTTTGAACCAAAGTATCCCCCATCTTGCAATTTATTTTCCGTAGATGTTGAATATAACATAACTTCTCCCTTAGAGGTTTTCCAATTTTCATCTATCTTCACTAAAGTTAATCTCAAATTTAAAAGTTGACAGACATATCAATACTAAATGTTTAGTAATATGCATATTAATTTCATAATCTAATGTGATATGACAAATTGCTCCATGATATCCTGATTAGCAAAAAGTGGGCTATGTGGAATAACTATCAGATGGATCCACAGCTGACTATAGCATGGGTCCTCAAACTACAGCCCGCGAGCTGGATCCAGTCCGCCATGCTGATTTATCCTCAGAGCAAGTCCAAAAGCTCTGAGCCCGCACAGGTGTACTCAGTGGGGAGATGGCCGGGATCGCGGGCATGATCACAGTCATGCTGGTGCGGGTGGGGGGGAGATGGCCACGATCGTGCTCGGGGAGGGGGAGATGGCTGCGATCGCGTCCGCCTTCCCTGCATGAGCACACCTGCGATCGCACCTGTCTCCCCGCCCCCCGAGCATGCCCACGATCACGCCAGTCTCACTCCCCCGAGTCCAGCCCCCAACGGTCTGAGGAACAGTGAACTGGCCCCCTGTTTAAAAAGTTTGAGGACCCCTGGACTATAGAATTGGATTCATAGAGTGCCTCTCAAACTGTGGAGAAGGTATGAGTGGGATACTGAAGGATTTAGTCCTAGGCTGAGTGCTCATCAAATTTTTTGTTACTGATTTGAATGAGAAGGTACAGGGAATGCTTATCAAATTTGTAAGTGACACAACATTGGGTGGGATAGCTAATACCTTGGAAGGCAGAAACATAATTCAGAATTACTTTGATAGGTTGGAACACTAGGCTGAAAACAATAGAATGAAAATAGGGATAAATTGCAGGTTCCAAGCTGAAATGTTTGGAGTCTCTGATTCTTTGTCATGTCTATCATGTAGACTAGGATTCAGGTATGATGAAGTTGTGTAGGGAAGAGGACCCTGCTCAAGAGCTGGGATTTTTTTTAAAATTGTGCATTAAAAAAATAATAATGCACACTTTGAATTGTCCATTTTTAAAGTTAATGCATTTTGATATCCATTTTAAAGTATGCACATTTTCAAGACTTAAAAAGTAGTTTTAATTGTGCTTTTTTTTTTAAAGAGAGCTTTTAAAACCACATTTGAAAATGCATGTTAAATTAGTGAGAGCACAACTTCAAAAATTGACAAGCATTTTCATATAACTTGCATTCAGCTTTGTGAATGAGGCATTTTCAATTGATTTGTGAACTGTAACAGAGCTCTAATTTAGTTTGGGTTTCTGCACTGTGCTGGTGGTTGGACTTGATGGCCTAAAATACTCCTTTCAATCCTGTGGTTCAATCCCTCATGCTCTCTATTTCTTCTTAAGTCCATCTGATACAAAATAGTATTTTTTGCATGAGGCATATAAAAATCTCTTTTCACCTTGAGAGTCTGTGCATTTCTAGGTGGAAGTGGAGGTATTCTAGCTGGGACAAAACAAGGTTATGAAGGAATAGGAGAGAATTGCAGTTTCTGCTATTATATCTAAATGTATTCTTGGAGGTTGTTTAGAATAAAGACCCTGAAAAATATTCCTGTAAAATGAGTTAATTCTTTCTGGAATATCAGTAATTTCTTGTTGTCTACTCTAAGCCATTTGGTTTACATCTGTTTTATCATTAAATATCACTCTGATTAAGCCATTAGCTCTGCTTTGTAATCATATTTTAAAAATTGTATCTCTCTCATCAAGGATTCTCAAATAGTAATAGACTCCTTCAAGTCTGGGTTTGAACCTCCTGGAGACTTTCCATTTGAAGATTACAGTCAGAATATTTACAGGACTGTTTCTGATGGAACAATCAGTACACCAAAGCAAGAAGGGATGAAAATCGATGCAAAAACCACTGTGGGCAAGGCTAAGGGCAAACTGTGGCTTTTTGGAAAAAAACCAAAGGTAAAATAATGAAAATGTTTTTCACATGAAAACACTCCATTTTTGTGGTGCCAGGATTAAATGTTCTTTGAAACAAAATAAGAAACACGCTTTCAATGTTATGCACAATTTGAAAGGGCTATTTTAAGCATAGTTTTTACTGACCAAATTGTCTATTTTGGGAGTTAATTTCAGATATAATATATAGCCCTGCTGTGCTTTTATGAATTCTTTTCTTCCTCCTTCATTGCCACTCAGCCATGCTCGTCTGATAGCCAAGTTCCAGCAAACCTGAAGCACATCTGAGCAATGAAACATCACACAGTTGCCAAAGTTGATGCAGCTGATCAGAGCAATCACACTGGTAATTGGTACCTGCTCTGACCAGTTATAGCAACTTCTGTGGTTGTTGCTGAATTGTAAAGGCTGTATTCTGTCGTCCAGATATTGCCTATATTTGTTGGGAGTTGGCTTTGCCAGAGTTGGAGAGAAGTGAACGGTTAAACTCCATGGGTTTGTAGTAACCTTTTAACCTTTTAACACTGCAAATTCATCATTTTGTGATGATAGGCAGTATTCTACTGGGTTCTTATGTCTCCATTATTTCTGTTGCACAAGTACTTGGTCTTGCTGATTCTGTTCTGCAGTGCATCTCATCACTTTGTACAGTGGAGAATGCATGTTGTGCAGAGGAAGCCCTGGAACAAGCAGAAATGCTCAATTGGATTAGAACAGGTCAAGAGAACTCCAGTATGGGAGTTTTACTGATTTGCTCCATTCCCAAAATAAGCATTTATAACTTATTTCTGGCTGCTCCTGGAAGCACTAAAGTAGGCATCATGTGTGGAAGGGAATTGGCAGGATACAACAGAATTAGTAGGGGTGTAAGCATCCCATTGGATACTGCATTATAGTTTTTGATAGAGCTTGCAAACATGCAGCTCCCTATCTGTAATGTACAAATTTAGAACTCAGTAATTCTGTTCAAAACTGGTCTGGCTTCAGCAGATCAATCTGAAGATGTACAAAGAGGTTGGAAGGGAAGCAGTGTTAAATTACTTTGAACATATGAAATAATAATGATGTGACAGCTAAGTGTATTCTGCCTTTGCAGACATTCTTAACATAAGACTCAGTAAAGCATGTAAATAAAATATTACTTAATTTTTTTCCAGTAAAGTTTAATGGAATGAGGATAATATTTGTGCAGTACACCTTAATGCTTTAGATACTAGAACAAGATTACCTTATTATTCTAATTGTATGGTACATCTGTGTTACTGTATGAATTCTTTCAATTCTCATTTTGGTAAATACATTTTTAAGAAATTTAGCATTGAGGATACGTGGATTTCTAAATCAGAATCCGTTCTGTTGGGTTTGAGGCGGAAGCATTGCTGGGTTTTGAGCTTTGCTTTTGAATTCAAACCTAATAGATCTATTTTTTTAAAAGCATTCTATATCCCCTTTCTGGTCTGTTCTTTCAGCAGTTGTTTTAATGATAGTGTTAGGGTGGTTCTTGATTGTTTGTCTGTAGCTCTTATGAAAAGCGATATTTTTAATTACTTAACATTAGAGTGAAATTTACCCTTTCTTTCTTAAATTCTTTGTATTCTCTGTCATTTTGTTAGTTAAAACAACAAAGCATCTCGTGCAACTTTAAATGCTGACAAATTTATTATGTCATATGTTGTCTGCTGGTAAATGCTGGTGGTTGGATCCAGATGTGATATTCTGCAAATGGAATCCAAAGGAGGATCCCCTTCAGCAAGTTGGATGCTCCCATTGGTGGGATGTACAGAGAGAGATGGTGACACTTCTCCCTGCAGTGTCATTTCCCATACTATACGGGAAGGTCCTCTACCTTTCTGAAGCAGAGCTTTGAGCATAAGTAGTTGCAGAGGGGTATGGGGAATCAGTGAACATTGCCACTCCCCCACCTCCATGCCTATATGCAGAGTTCTGCTCCGTGCAGCTCTGGATCCAACCCGACTCTAGAATGGAAGGGGAAGACAGAACTTTCACTGCACTTTGAATGTTTGCCTTATCTGTTCCTTTCTTTATTTCTGTGTCAGCCACAGTCCCCACCCCTTAGCCCTACTAGTTTATACACATCCAGTACTTCTAATGGTTCTCAGTATCCCATATTCTCCATTGAACAAGTGCATTATTGCATGAATGAAATAAAAACAGGGAGGCCCAGAATTCCTTCTTTCAGAAGTCTCAAAAGAGGGGTAAGTTTAACCATGGGTTATAGGTGCATGATGGTGCTATGAACAGTGTGCTTGTGGTGTGGCTTTTCTAGTACTCTCCACCCTCATTATAAGGCTCTCTGTTAATGATCTATTAGAGATCATTGTGCTTAGTTTCCTGTTCTGTAATAGTTGCCCTCAGCTTAACTGGTAGAGTGACATTCAAAAATATTTGGCACTGAGAAGACAGAGTTATAAAGAGGGTGCTGGGTGCATGTTTTCATACTTTTCTGTTTCATAATCATGAGTGTGCATAATAAATAATGTATGTGGGAAAGGAGACATAACTAGGGATGGAAACGCCCCTGATGCGTTGATTTGTCTAACAAAGAAATGTAGGTCTCCTCAGACACTTCGAAATGTCATGGAGGCAGCACATTCTTCTGACACAAGCACTGAATGATTGTGGGAAAGCAAGGTTAGTAAAGCAAGGTGATGGTGGTGGTAGTAGTAGTGGTAATAATTATAATAATAAACTTTAATCCCACCCTTCCACAAAGGAGCATATGTGCAGTCTTAATTCTCCCACATCCTTGTCAATGGTACAGCTATGCAGTTCTAGGCACTGGAACTAATGCTTTTAGGGGGGCTTCTTTGTGTATTTCTTCCTACCCTGCCATCTCCAACGATGAATATATTGTGTGATGTAACCACATTGTACACATATTTACTCAGAAGGAAATTTGTGTAGATGTTCTTCAAAGTCTTATACTATTTCCTCTGGAGCTGGGTTGCTGAGTTGAGATACTGATTTCAAAGGAAACTACTTACTGTGAGCTTTATATGTGCACATGTTTATGTGTAAGTAGGATAATGTAAGCAGCAGAAGGAACAATCAGTAGGCTAAAAATCCCTTCTGCTTTTCAGGTCTCTGCTTTGGCAATCAGGTCTGGGATGGTGCTGTCTCAGCACCTGCCCTCGAGGAAATCACCTCTTAGAAGCAGACTGGTTTCTAGGCAGCCAGGCATGGGATCTTTCTGATGGGAAGAGAAGTTAGAACTGGCACACACCCCTGCCCTAATGCACAGGCTATGCATGCGTTCAGGCAGAATTCCCTCTACCATTGCTGGTATTTCTTCTTAGCTTCAGCAGTGTCTAGCTGCCCGCCATGCTCTCCCATGTCTTATATTCGAGGAGAGTCCAAGTATGGTAGACCAAAGCAGAGAACAGAATCCCTTCCTCAACAAGTCCCCAGTAAACCAGAGAGAAAGCATTAAAGCAAGCCCAGTCAGCCTTTCCACTGGTGCCCAAACATCCTCCCTTGTGGGTAGGTCATGTCACAGTAACTCTCAGGGTGAATATTAGGTCAGACATCTCACTCCAAATTTCTTAATGCCTATAATCAAATGAGAGATGTTGTTCTACCATTTCCATGTTATGAAGTGCTTCTCCTTTAATATTTTCTGCTTTGTGTGCACTGTGAATTGCAGCTCAGACATGAACCAGAATCATAGGGTTATTTTTCCTTTTTCAATGTGCTCACTTCCACGTAATTATACTCTAGTGGCACTTAAGCTCAGCTCTTTCCCAGGCTGCGCATGCACCGACACTCTGCTGTTATTGGCATATGTATTTCTGAAGGAGTATTTGTGAATGATACAAAATATTAATTTAGTGTGTGTGTGTTAAAGTTGTTTCTGACAGCATGCTTTTTAGACTTGCGGATTACAGACCGCACAGTAGACAGTTTCAGGGGCAAAAATTCAGAAAAAGAAATCTTTCCTGGCTCTAGCTTAAATCTTACTGTAGTAATATTTATATATTATTCCTTTATTTTAATAGATTGCAATTATAAATGTTCTTTTACTCTAATGGATAGTTTATTGTTGCTTCCTAGAAGTCTGTTTTGTTGCTGTTAAAACTGCATTTCATCAGTAATAGCTTAATAGTTAATTCCACTTTCTAAGAGAGATCAAGGAAGGGTGCTTACCAATTTATAAAGGCACAATCTAGAAATTTAATTTTTTCTAGGAATCATAGTGAACCTAGCAACATTCACTATGCCTTAATGAATTAGCATTACCTATTTATTTCTCTGAAATACATTTTCTTATATATATGAGATTAAAATGCTGGCTGTTGATAAGCAGAAGTTAAGATCAGATGGATAGATAGATGTGCGCATGCAGGTGCACACATGCATGTGCACACACACACACACATCTATTTACCTACAATTCAAAAGAAACTGAATGCAGTCTACCTCTGTATATCAGATATTGCTGGGTATGTTGGTCTAAAGACAAGCAGTTCAGAGTCCAGAGATAATCATAAGCAATGCCGGTTAATGATTAGAGGAGTTTTCATTGTTGTGGGTTACTTCTTTTTGGCTATAAATTCTCTTTAACTTGCCTATCTTGGGTTAGCACATCAGAGCTTAGTAACTTTCTCCTTCTGTACCTGTGCCATTATTATTGCTCAGTAAACCAACAGAAAAACATCTTTTCTGCATCCGGGAACCTGAATGCTCATTTTTGCACTTAAATTGTATACCCTTTTATGCTTCAGTTCAGGCTTTAAAATAACTTCGAGCTTGTGATAAAGAAGAAAGTAATTTCAGCTGGGCAGGGGTTGGCAAGAAAGGAATGGGAGGAAGTGAGAAAAAATATTTGTAAGACTGTCTATGAAGACTGAAATTTTATTGGATTCTGTACTAATCCTCAAACTAAGTCTTGCATTGGATATCCACAGACATACAAATAGACATAGTCAAGACATTGCAAGGAAGTACACATTTCTAGCATAGAGCACTAACAGAATCTAATCCTT